GTCAATCCATGCTTGATTTTTCACCCGCCCAATGCCTGATAGTTTAGTCCAGCTTGGCTTGCCATACAAAAACCAATTATAGAAGAAGGTTTAATTCAGAATCAAGAGCAAATAAAAGTTACTACAGAAATTAAAGAAAAGGAAAATAAAATAGAAGTACTTCAGCAAAATTTCCAACACTTAACCAAAGAAAAAAGTGAACTAGAGGAGAAATTAAGCAAAAAATAAGTGAATTAGAAATTAAATTAACAAAAAAGGAAAAAATTATTGAAGAAGATAAAAAAATCATTTGTAATTATGAAAACTCAAACAACTTATTACAAGAACAAAAAGGAAAATTGGAAGATGAGATAAGCAAATTAAAGGAGAAAAATCAAATTATTGAAAAGATTTATTTCAAATTCAAGAGCAAGTAAAAGTTAGTACAGAAACCAGCCAAAAACAAAATTTTCAATTACAAGAACAGATAGGACCCTGAAATATACATAAAAGGGTCAGTTCAGAGTTTGCGTATAATGAGTCAAAAAAATCATGTAGATCATTCCTTTTATGGATAATCCCAGCCAAAATAATATTTCCTAATTTAGATAATGGCTGAAATTATCGTAATTCTGGCCCTGAAAGAATGCGTATTTTGGACCACTTCTGGACCTGACCTCTACATATATATTTCGGGGTCCTGAACAGATAATTGAAAAACAAGAAATAATTAAACAAAAAGATAATGAAATAACAGCTCTCCAGCAAAATTCTCAAAACTTGACTAAAGAAAAAACTGAACTAGAAGAGGAGCTAGCAGTAAAGGAAAGAATTATTGAAGGGACAAATAACAACATACAAGAAGAAAAAGGAAAATTGGAAAATGAAATAAGCAAATTAAAGGAGAAAAATCAAATTATTGAGAAGGATTTAATTCAAGCTCAAGAGCAAATAAAAGCTAATATAGAAATCAGCCAAAAACAAAATGATCAACTACAAAAAAAGATATTTAAAAAACAAGAAAAGATTAGACAAAAAGAAAATGAAATAGAAGCACTACAGCAAAATTCTCAAAACCTAACTAAAGAAAAAACTGAACTAGAGGAGGAATTAGACAAGAAAATAAGTGAATTAGAAATTGAATTAGTAAAAAAGGAAAAAATCATTGAAACAGCAAATAAAGAAACTGCTCATTAGGCCGCTCAAATCCAAACCTTTGTTTAACATAACCCCCCCCTCCAATTGGATAAATAAAGGATAGTTGAACAACACATATTTTATCAATTTGATTGGTTAAAATTAATCATGTGATTTACAATTAAATCACTAAAATTGACCATTAGATCAGCCGTATTTTACCAATAGATCGGCCGCAACTTTTTATTAACATATAAATGATGCTTTCTCAATTTTGTACCCAAAATCCTGTTGCACAATGGGTTTCTTTGTTGTGTGCGTACTTAAAGAAGCAAAAACAATCATTTCAGATAAGATTGTAAAGGTATTGCTTACAGACTGTTGCCAGTTTCACAACGTGTTTAATATAGCAACAAATAACCAGTTCGAAAATTTAGGAGGTATTCAGGTATTTTTAAGAAAACCTCNCGTAAATCTTACGATATTGAAAACTTACGTAATATTTTAACCGTAATATCACATAAATCTTACGAAATTGTAAACTTACAAAATATTTAGAAATTTTTCGAAATATTATGCCATAAACTTTCGTAAACTTACAAAATCGTAAACTTACGCAATTTTTCGCACTATAAAATTTCCTGATGACGTGATTGCAGTGTTTTTTAATATATAGATAGATAGATAACCATATCATGATAATTTATTAATTATAAAAAGGAAATAACTGTTGATTTATTTAATTTCAATTTAGTTGCTCCATATTACAGTTGAAATCATAATGAATATTCACGAATATTTGAAAATTATCTGTGCAAATTGTCCGTAAATTATCTATGAATATTTAGCAGACTATCCATGGATTATTCACATAAATCCATGACGCTTAATCATATCCGCCTTATCTGGATATTTGGCATTATCTATGTTGTGCCCCAAATCTCAATATGCCCCAAATTGACGATAAGGCCGCTCAAATCCAAACCTTTGTTTAACATAACCCCCCCCTCCAATTGGATAAATAAAGGATAGTTAAACAACACATATTTTATCAATTTGATTGGTTAAAATTAATTATGTGATTTATAATTAAATCACTAAAATTGACCATTAGATCAGCCGTGTTTTACCAATAGATCGGCCGCGACTTTTTATTAACATATAAATGATGCTTTCTCAATTTTGTACCCAAAATCCTGTTGCACAATGGGTTTCTTTGTTGTGTGCGTACTTAAAGAAGCAAAAACAATCATTTCAGATAAGATTGTAAAGGTATTGCTTACAGACTGTTGCCAGTTTCACAAAGTGTTTAATATAGCAACAAATAACCAGTTCGAAAATTTAGGAGGTATTCAGGTATTTTTAAGAAAACCTCCAGAAAAATGGGTTTATGTAGAGGAAGGACTGCAGAGTGATATATCTATGCTATTTGAACTTAATTTTACACATATTAAGTTCATTTTGGAAGCAACTGAAACTACAGTTCAAAAAAGGCCAAATGCATTTGATTTAATTATGAATATTTCACAACGTATTTGTCTTCCAGAACAGAAAAAAGAAGATACTCGCAAGGATTTACTTTATAATAACATCATTAAATTATTTCAAAGTAAAATGGTTGGATGGAGAAACGAAACACAAAATACTTTTGGAAAGAGTTTTGTTGAACGTCTAACAGCGGCATTGTGGTACATAGATCCACATCGTACAAAATTTGCAGAACGATCACTTTTACTTGGAGAATTATTTAATGAATTAGATCAATATCAAAAAGACCAAAATTATAATCTTTATTATTTTACTGGTAAGCATGCTAAATATAATCTTGAGCATGACAAGCTTGAAAAATTAGCTTCTTCATTAGAATTATCAGCAGCACAACCATGGGCAGCTAGTGAAATTTGGGAGAATATTATTGAAGAAGTCTTTATTTTTACATCTTCAATGCGAAAATATGCAAATAACTTAGAACAAATTAATAAATCTATGAAACAAATACACCTGAGTAATACACCAGCACGTCAGCCAGCTAATGATCTAAAGGTATACACAGTAGATTCCTGTCAAAAAATTTATGCACAATACCAACAACTTCAAAATCACCTATCCAATATGGCTAATTATACCGAAATTAATTTGGATAGCTTTTTACCTGAAGATGCAATGCAACGGTACCGTTATATTAAAGATCTTCAGATACAGTTTCCTGTTACTTTATATCGGTATTATCATGGCAATTATCTTGGCACCCTTAATTATATTTGGAAAGTTCCAATTAATCCTGAAAAACGATCAGAAACTGCACAAGCACGTGTACTAGCAACTATTCAAGAAAAATTACCACAATATTTCACTCGACAAATGCGAAAAAAATGCATTAAAAAAGGTTAATTTTATTTGTATTTTACTTGAAAAAATATTCTAAATTAAATGTACTAATAGTTGCATATAATTCTAATAGTATTCATTAGTTAAGAATATTACACCTGCTATTTTACGCATTTTATATTATGATTTAAGTGGCAATGCTGCTGTAACATCAAATGATATTTGTAAAGAGCTGGAAGAACGGCTTCGACTTATGTTAACAATGGAAGATCCTTCAATTATATGTGATTTACGTCAAAATAATGGATTTAAAGGAACAAAATTCGATACTTTTTGGGATGAGATGGGAGCTTATTTTAATGAAGTAAATTATTTTCTTAATTACTTTATTTTATATGTAAAGTATTAATAATTAATTAATTAATTTTCATGTTTTAAGAATTCACCAGCAGTTAATGATCGGCGACATGGAAATATTCTATATATGCCACTTGCTATTTCTATACGTGATCTTCGTGAGATAATCATTAAACGGTTAAATGAAAAACTTATATCTGAAACTGTTTTAATTCCAAGTGAAGAATGGATACGTTTGCAGTTTCAACCAACAAATCCAATAACTGAAAGTGCAAAACAATATACTGGACGTTTTAATATCAAATTTATGGTTCAAGCAAGACAGCTTCGTAAAGACCATCCAGACACACATTACTGTGCAGCTCTTTTTCGGTATTTACGAGAATTTGCAATTTTGTATCAACAGCATGTTTCATTTATATGTGCAGATGATAAACATAAGGTTTCTATTGGAGAGGGTATCAATACTTCTACTGGAGTTCGCAATAGAAAAACTATGGTTTTTCAAGAAACTCCCTTAGTTGCATGTGATCATGATTTTACAAAGTTATCACTTACACCTTCTGTAATATTCTTTTGTAATATTCCCCAATCTATTGAAAATTCATTTTATAGTGGAAAAGTATTTGTTTCATTTAAAGATACAGTATTCCAACCTAGTAGTGCTATCAGACATACTACTGAGTTTTATAACACAATTCTTAATCATCACCTTAACAATATTCCCCCTATTCTATGCCTTTACACTGATGGTGGTCTAGATCATCACACAATATTTGGTTCAGTTCAAATTTCTCTTATTTGTCTTTTTTTACATGGGAATTTTGATATGCTTATTGCTATGCGTACAGCGCCACATCATAGCTGGACCAATCCTGCAGAAAGAATCATGTCTATATTGAATTTAGGATTACAGGGTGTAGCATTAGTTAGAGATACTATGAGTCCAGAATCGGAAACTGCATTTGCTAAATTGGATACATTAGATGAAATTCGTGCTGCTGCTAAAACAAATGAAACTTTGCGAAGTGATTTATGTAAATGTATAACACATGTACAACAGATATTGGAAGGACGTACAGAAAAATTAGTTTTACATGATGAACCATTTCAGTGCTATGGGCCAGCAGATAAAACTATGATTGATGAATTTTTTAATGTAAGTAATTTAGAAAATTACATATTTTAACATTAATACTGAATATTTATTAATATTTATTCTAATATAACGCATTGTTTTTAAATAATTTTATTGATTGATCAAACCTTAAAGATTTCAGAAACAACAAGTGATATTTTATCAAAAAAAACACAATTACAACAATTTATGAAAACACATTGCAGGCAGCGTCAATATGTTTTTCAGGCAAGTTAGTTTCATTTTTTAAAAATCAATTTAATACATTTATAATAGATAAATTCTCATTATTTTATAAATAGATAAAAAAATGTGGGCAATCGTCATGTACTATTTGTCAATCTGTTCAGCTTCCAGATAACATTTTTGACTCACTTGATTGGCTGCCAGATCCTATCCCTTCTACAAGTGCGTCATAAGATTTTTTTTGTTTTATATATAATATCTTTGACAAACAAAATTCATTAATTGTAGTGGATAAAGATCATTATGCTAACTTTCAGACAGCATATCGGTCAGGAACAACAGAACAATATCGTCCAACACTTATGACAACAATGGCAAATAGTGAACGTGTACCATAATCCATTTTTACAAATACACGAGTTCGTGAGTTTATTCAATGTTTTCAATGTGAAAAGATACGATGTCTTTACAGTGAGCGTGCATTATCAGCTGAAGATAAGATTGCATGCCAAGTTGCCATAGATGATTGGGATTACAGTTGTGGATCACCATTTGTACCAGAGGATAATATTCTATAAGACAAAGTTTTTGTAAGAGAAAAAATTAATTGTGAAATGCCAATGGAATTGGCATATTATTCATGCCAAAAAAGTAATACTAATAATTGCGATACTTGCTATTGGTGTGAACATGATAATGAATTGGTAGAACCTCCGGAAAGCCTTAAGTTGAAATACAAATCCTTGTTTAAATGCTGTAAATTGTGCAGAAGTGCAGGGAAGGATATTTTTGCACGTGGTGAAATTAAAACTCATACAAGAGCTGCAAAGAAGCGTAAAATTGGTAATTGAATAAAATTTCGGTAATAATTGTTGAATTGTTCAATATAAAGTTTATTTTAAGGGTCGTAACTAAGTAAAGTTAAGATTTTATTAATTTTTCATTAATTTATTTCATAATTTATGTTATTAGTTTAATTTATTTCAATAATTTAATTTTATACGAGTAACTGAAGTAAGGTATTTCAATAATTTAATTTATTTTTATTTTT